AGTTCAGAGTTGGGATACTCCGGGTTCTGCAGATGATCCGGGCGCTCACGATCCCACGCCCACCTCGTCTTCAGCTCTGGCGACAGCGAGTCTTCCAACATCTGAATCACGTACTTGCCAAGTACAGGGAAAAACTTGAATCCGTGGAATGAGCCACACGTTGCGAGATACAGACCCTTGGCCGCCGAGTGCGGAGAGATGATGAAGTCTGAGCTAGTTGTAAAGGCGTCCCTTAACGCACAGTCAGCCGGAATCTAGGATACTGCGCAACCAATAATTAGGCACTTACCAGCAGATTCGGTGCTTGGTCATCTTCCAGTCTGCGCTCTTCTCTCCGTACCACAGATTGCGCTGCTCAACGATATCTTCTTTGAGCTGACGAGACACCTTCCACTGGCTGTAATCTTTTGCTGGCGGAGGCGCTGAGACGTGGCGACCAGGCAGGATTTCTTTGGTGTTTGAGAAGATCTTGGATCCCCACCATTTGAGTTCTCTGTCCTTCGTTGGCGGAATGCTTCCGATGAAAGGCTTGCCTGTTTCGATAGTGAGTTATTTTGTCCCCCTAATCGCAATGCGGAAAGAGGAAACAGGCGTGGAGTCGTTGACAAATAACCATAGACAGAAAACCTACCATGTCCTGTGTAACCCTGGAACCCAACGGGCATGTCGGCATACTTCTTGTACTCCTCTTCGTCAAGCTCCGCCATGCCAGTGGTAATTCCAGCGGCCAGAATGCGGTCGCCGGCTCGGAGATTGCTCAGGCCGCTCTTTGCGGCACTCAACTCTAGCAATTTTGGCGTGTAAGCTCCCGTGGAGAGAATAGTGTGCTCTGCGGTCAGGATTTCGCCTGTTGTTGTCTTGATACCTGTGCAGTTGCCGCGCTGGTCAAATTCTAGAGAAGCAGTTTCGGCCGTCACGTACTTGACGCCTAATCTGATGGATTCGCGAGTGACAGCTCTTAAGCAATCGCCAGCAGCCGCCCATCCGCTTGCGCGGTTAACGAGGACTTCTTTGGCGCCAGAGTAGTCAGCATCTTCGAAAAGACCATTATACAATTTGCGGGCTTCAGAAATGGGCAACGCAATAATATCGTCCTTGCGACCGAGCTTCTTGTGGTGGTCTATAACATTCTGGGCATAATCGCTTCGGCAGATCCAGTAAACACCGGTTTGGTGGAAATACGGCTGCCAGAGAGGGTCGTTCTTGAAAGTGTCTTGGGCTTCCAGGGCTAGCTGACAGTAGGTAAAGTCGTCGTAGTCGGCGCGGACCACCTTGTTCCAGTCCCATGAGGCGGCCACGCGCTCATCGGCGTCGAATGCATCCTTGTCGACCAGGGTCACGGATGCATCGGGGTACTTCTTGATAAGGTGATAGGCGGTAGACACACCAAACACACCAGCGCCAACAATGAGATAAGAGGGTTTGCTCTGGTCCATTTTGTTGAAAAAGTAGAATGACATGGATCGGCGGGAAAGGGGGAAGAACTTGGTCAAAAGGGGACTCCTGCAGCCAAGCAGAGCAGAGATCTTCTTCGACTATGGAGGTTCCCAAGACAGCGCAGAGAGACGGAAACAAAGAAGTCGAGTGTTACCCTGAATACCTTGCATCGTCACTTTCACGGAGCGAGAAGACGGTTTACTTATCGGTGACCCGTGTGAACTCCCCCGCCTCCAAGTGCGGAAGGGGTCCCGATGTCGGCTGAGGCTCCGAATACCGATCACGTGACTACTCCCGTCATCCGGGGACCGGCCTGCTTCGTGCGTGTTTCTCTCTCTATCATTCAAAACATGAGCATCACCAGATCGCGATCTTCGTGCTCTTGAATAGAAACACTGCAATGCAAGTTTATCTTGTAGGTCAAAAAAAGGAGACTAGGCATTGGCCGACCTTTTGAGTTGCTTCGGTTGGATATTCCACAACTCATGGGCAAACATCAGGGATGCCCCCGGATAATTTGCGATAAGACCCTGGAACCCAGTGTAAACAGGGCAACGATCCCTACCGAGATCCTCCTGACTTAGTCGTCTTCTCCATAAGCAGCAGATACGGTCAACACCATCACGATAGATACGGGAATCCTCGGTGTGCCTGTATGGTATGACTTGACATGGTCGTTGACTCGTTGACAGCTGTACCCTAGATCGCGGATCAGCAGCGTAGTGCAAAGTGCCGGTCTGGTACCGAGCGTGACAGGCACTTGGACTTGATGCACGGCGGCCAACGCACGAAGGGTATCCGGACTAGTCCACCGACGGCGTCACGTACGCCGAGCCGCCATACATGGTACGAGAGGGGTGCAGAGTGCAGCGAATGGGACGAACACAGTGCTACACTGACGCCAATGGAACCAGAGGCATTGCGTTGCTGGGTATTGAGGAAGGGCAGCGGCTGGAAAACGACGTGTAACCATCGGGTGCCAATGGAGTCAAAACCGCCTGGGCGTTCACGAGGCGGGGTCTTGGGGCCTACCCAATGAAGAATGCACAGTGAAAAGTTTCCAGATTGGGAAAGGATACTCGTTAGTGGCAAATATGTGACAGATATAGACCCTCACTGGCCGGGGGAGCTTCTGAGGGGAATGACTGGTCGAAGCTGTGTGATAAGCAGGGATGAACAACCTTAAGTCTGTATGTGTAGATGGACCGGATCTTCATCGAAGGATGTCCAGCTCAAAACACGGGTATGGAAAGTCTAGACTCCTGGGGGTGGGCGCTGCATCAAGCAATGCATCATGATGAATCTTATCTCCACTGCCTTCAAGGACTCCAGCTTGCCCAGGACCTCTACCATCATAGCGCGGCTCGGTCCGTATCTTCCACCCCATGGTGTTTGGAGTGCTAGTCGGTCCGCGTGAGAGGTGTTTGCCGGTCATGTGATCGGTATTCACGACCGCATCAACAGCCACCTGATGGCTATGGGTGTCCGGAACTGTCAGAGGCGTTCGGTGTGCGACATCAAGCACCGGCCGGCCCAAACGATGGTTTCCAGTCCAGGAGATTGGAAAGGGCGAAACACAGACTCAGTCAACCGGCCAGGGCTTATCATGGCTATATAGAAGGACTGCCATCTCGGATCATAGAGTTCTAGATAACCCGAATCAGACCACAATCATCAGATTACAACTACCGAGCATCAGCTCCAGTTCCTCAGCTCTCATCGTTTTCAACGAGTTATCATCTTACAAAAATTTGTGGATTGAGCAATGTCACTTTTCAAGAATTACTTTGCCCTCGGCGGCTCCAAGCCTGCTGCACAGGATGAAAAGGCCCCTGTCAGAGCCCTTCCTGCCTCCTGGTACACCTCTCAAGAAATGTACGAGCTTGAACGCCGTGCCATCTTCTCCCGAAAGTGGCTCCTCACTACACACAAGGCCAGAATCCCCAACCCAGGTGACTGGGTCCGCTATGATGTTGCCGGCTACCAATTCATCGTCGTCCAAGACCGAAAGGGGAACATCAACGCCATGCACAACATTTGCCGGCACCGAGCTTTCCCCGTAGTGACCAAGGAAGAGGGAAACAGCTACGTCTTCTCTTGCAAGTACCACGGCTGGTCTTACGGTCTGGCGGGCAACTTGGCCAAGGCCCCTGGATACCAGGAGCTTCCGGGTTTCGACAAATCTCAGAACAACCTTTTCCCCATCCATGTCCACGTTGACCGCAACGGCTTTATCTGGGTCAACCTTGATGCTGCCGAGAAGCCCGAGATTGCGTGGAATGACGACTTCCTCGGTATCGACGAACAGGAGAGATTCGAGCACTACAACTTTGAGGACTATGTCTTTGACCACCACTGGGAGATGGAGGGAGAGTGGAATTGGAAGATCCTGGCCGACAACTACAACGAGTGCTATCACTGCCCGACTGCCCACCCTGATATCCCTTCCATCGCAGACCTCAACTCCTACTTCGTTAACACCCAGAACGCCTACATTCAACACTTTGGCCAGCCCACGCCGGAACAGATCGCCAAGGGTTTCCGCGTCGCTGCCACCTACTTCTGGCCCAACGCCTCCATGAACGTCTCGTAAGTCACATAGATACTCACAATGATGGAATCTTTGCTAACAGTTCTCCAAGACCACACTTCTTCTTCATCCAGCGATTCGTTCCCGACGGCCCTTCCAAGTCCCAGATGCGCTATGAGGTATACCGCAACAAGAACTCTGGCGATGAGGCCTTCAACGTCATCAGTGACATGTACAAGCGCATCATGTCCGAAGATAAGTACCTCTGCGCCAATGCCCAGAAGAACATCAACGCCGGCATCTTCGTCAACGGCGAGCTCCACCCTGAGATGGAGAAGGGTCCTCTCTTCTTCCAGAAGACCGTGCGCGAGATCATCACCGAGCACTGGAAGAAGGAGCAACAGTCCGGCAGCGAGATCTGGCCGGCGCAGCAGCAGGTGCCAAAGACAGCTACGGCGAGCCAGAGTGATTCACAGCTCTGCGCAGCGATCGACTGCTGTAGTAGAGGCAAGGGCAGAATGGATGACAACAAGAAGATGTGTCTCGATGAGGCGATTGCATTCTGATTTGAAGTTTGTGGAAGGCAGAAGGACCGGGGGCATGGATCATGGCGAGACTTGAGCATCTCACACTTGGCGTTGGATATTGATAGCATTCCTTTTACACCACCTTAGTTAATTGGGCGAAATTGAACCTTTGAACATTCTTTCCGTAACAAGTTGCCGACATTCCGTCATCAAGGTACTGGACGATACAAATGGTTCCTCAATTTTGAAGTGATCAGCAGCGCAAAGTTGAACTTCTCGGTACCTGCAATCAGGAACAGTTTGCGGGGGAAACTTGGTCTTGTTCTCCTTCATCCGCCGATGGAAGCTAATGAATTACAGCTTCGATAGAGCACTCCACGATGGCAGGTGTGTCGAATAAGGTAGACCGTTCAAGTCCCCTGATCCGTAGATTGCGTATATATCGGGGTTCTCATCATTCGGAGAAGCCCTCAAAACATTCCTTCTAGGATCGACTCGATGTGCTCTCATACTTGGTCCCCCTTGCTCTGAACCGCAATTCTCTCGACACCAAGATCACTCTCAGTCTCATCCGAGTTCTCCAAAGTCCCCTCCCCACCTTGGTTCCAGTTACCGAAAACAGCAAGTAGGGTGAAAGGAATTGTAACAGCCCAAAGAGAGAATCCCAAAATCATCTGGTTCTTGTTGGGCCAGTGTGTCGCTCCCACAGCGTAAGCAATCGTACTGCCTATAGATTCCCAAGATCGCAAGATTCCCGTGGTGCGCGCAATATCACCATCACCCTGGGCGCCCTTGATCTCGGCCATCAGCCAGTAGATATATGTCTGCAGCATCTCGTAAAAGAACTTGAAGAACATGTAGACTGTAAACGCAGAGTTGAAGAATGGACCATCGCCCAGGTCGAAAGATGGTGGATCGGTCATGCGGGATAGGCGTGTCTCAATGATGGCATTCCAGATCCATGCAGTAGTAATGAATACCAGAATAATGATGTAGACGACCTTGGATTTGGCCGACCGTTCAAAACGTTTGACGTCAAGAATTGCGCCGGTGGTAATATTTGCGGCGGCACCGACAATGGCCGTGAGGAACGATGCCAGCGCTCTGGACCGGACAGTAAAGTAGGCTTTTGACGGAATATTAGCTACCTGTGTGGTCGTGAATAGGGGTTGCTATCCGTGAGACGTACTTGTCAGATAATTTCCCTGGTAGGTTGTTCCGAACTGGCCGGCCAAGAAAACGGGAATGAGCAGTAACATGTACTTGTTCTTCAGTTGTTTCCAAATGGCCCTAGCTTCGATTCCGAAGTTGGTCTGCTTCATGTATGGAATCTTTGTACCATCGGTTCTAATGACTTTCTGAGGTTGTGATAGGAGCAAAGCAGCTGGTGCTCCTAACGATGAAATGGTAACTAAGCCGAGATATGTTGTGTAGGTAACCTTGCCCTTTTCCGCCGTCTTGATGTTCAAAGCCAGGGAAATCGCGCCGCCAACGAGGGGTCCCATTTGTCGAATACCCATCCAGATTCCGACATAGCTAGACGATGTTTTGTCAGTCGGCGGCTACCTCGTGTCAAAATACAGGGGGAAAAGAACTTACCGGCCTCTCTTCTCCGCTTCGGGGTATCCAACGGCAATGGCTGCCTCACTTGCCCACAAGAGCGAAGCCCCAATGCCGCAAAGTCCAGCACCAAGCAGCAAGAACCATTCATTTCCATAGCGATTGTTGCAGTAGAGCCCTGCCGCATAGGGAGTGTAGAATGCCGCGCCGATGCATAGGGTCCATTTGGCTGTAATCTTGTTCGTTATGCCTCCTGCTATGAAACACCCGACAGACATGAGTCCGTATGTGAGGGAGTTGGCGGCATTGTTCAAGAGAGGCTATCCAAAGATTTATCAGCATAGGAAGGACGATTCATCAAAGGGGACGAGACTTACGGATGCGTTTCCGCCAGCCCCAAGATTGTTCAGTGCCGTCCAAATTCCCGGCTCACAAAATGCCACAATCCCAACAATGATGATCTGAAAAAGACACGATCGATAGGTCTGGGCTAATCGAGCGAGAGCCATGATGATTACCTTTTTCAGCGGTATGAGTATCCGACACAGAGATCAAGACCGCTCTGGGAGTTCACCCAGCTTTTTTGGTTTGCAGCAGCTAGCTGATTTTATCACTATCGTGCACCCCCAGGTTGGCGAGCACGTCAGGATCCATAAAGAATTCGGAATTACAGAGTTTGCATGAATATTGCAGTGTCGTAGGCAAATCAAGATAACAAGGACAGCACGCAATTGTGAAAGTGGGCGTGTTAAGTCACTTCAGAACACTAAGCTTCAATTCCCCGGCACTACGTAGGATCAGGGGTGGACTCAGAGCAGCAGGGCCGGCATTAACCGCAATGAATGGATCCATGTTAAGACTGCCGAAGTTGACCCCGAAGTTTTAACAAGATGAATTGGCCAACTGGAAGCTGCGAGCTACAGACATCGGGTTCATCATTAAGGTAACAAGAGTGCGAATCCATGATCACGCCATGCCCCACGCAGATGATGTTGGCACTGCAAGTCGACTAATCAATATGCTGGCTTTGACTCCGCTACAAGACAGAGGATGTTTCTTGCTTTTCAATAATTACTTTCAACGTTGATGAGTTTTTCTTTTTTATAAGGATGTCGCAGCGCCACGAGTGGCGCTGCTGGTTACTGCCGTACGATACCGCTTTCCACAAGCCGATTACCCGTCTTGGTAGGTATATAGATATGACCCTCATACGGATCTTCCACTTAGAGGAATCAAGCCACTTTCTACTATACATCTCTTCCTGTCGGAACGGCAAGGCTGATAAGGAGCAATGGGCAGGTATCGTGGGCTGGCTGGCGCCTGCCCTGGGCGAAGTGGGACAACCGGCTTAGTCACCACGGCCGGCTAAGGTGGGGCAACCACCCAGGCCGTCACCACCTACTTCGACCGACCCCTGCCCATAATGTAAATAACAAGAACAACAACAGCAATTATCACGGACATCGACGTGATTGTTGCCGAAGATACACCCTCATGAGGAAATGTATCACGCCTGTGATACCAGCACTTCCACTTGCTACCTCGCTTTGTGATAAAGGAACTATTTTTTGTTGCCGAACTCCATGTGCATGTAAATATATGGTAATATGATCCCATAGATTACAATCAAGCAGTAAAGTCGTGAAGGATTTATTCACCTCCAAAACTCTCTGCACGTGGAATTAAATGTCTTTTGGACAGACTAGAGGCAGCACAGTGTTAAGTTAAACGACACAAAAGAGTTGAGTCTTCGACATTCTGGTTACTCCCAAGTTACGCACCTGAGACTCTAGAGCCTCCTCAGCACTTCTGAGCAGCGCTGGTGCTCAGGAAGGCTGCTAGCTCGATGCCAGTACATGTATGTTGCCAACGTAACTATTAATAGAAATTTGATTGTCGGAATCAACTACACCCCAAGACGGAAAAAGGCGGTTCTGAGTTTCGTTTAGACAAACAAAAGTGAACAGTGTCCCAAAAGTCTCAAAGCCAATTTGTTGAGAACTTGAACTACGAAGCTAACTAAAACGCAAGACTTCTAGTCATTAGACGGAAGCCTCTGGGTACTTTCGAGATCGAGATATTGACTGACCAAGGTGCCGGAATTTACACCAGCTTGGCCTGCGAAGGACCAGGGCCCTGGCCGATAACGTCTGTTGTGAGTGTGACAGTTAATGCCTGTGGCTGGGTGCGTCGCGACGTAGCGATCGGATACCTTCGTCAAGTGAGGCTGGTGCAGTTGTGGCGTCACAGACTGTCTGATTGGTTGTATCCCATCAACTGCTAGATGGCGTCAGTACATAGGTACGTACTTTAATAAAGGGAATAGTAAATAATCTAATAATCCGACCTTATTTCCCTTGTAACCGCCAAATAATCTCAAAATAGGGCGAAATTAGAGAAAGACTGGAGACGGATGTAGTGACGCCATCCAGGATGTTACGGCCAGCTAGTCGTAGTGAGGTATGTTTGCAGAAGTTGAGGCTGCGGAACTGGTAACAGTAATCGTAGTCGTGGATAGCTTCAGGGAAGCTATGTCTGTAAGTCGTAAGGTAAGGGAAGGCTGCGGTGATCAATCGTAGTCTTATCAAAGAGGTTCTCAGGAAAGATAGCTGAAAGCGATCATAAGATCTGATACGAAGTTAATTGCTGAAGAAGCTATGGGAAGTCTGTCCTAGAGTCCGGCTCAAGTCCATCCTATATACAAGTCCTGATTCTGAACATGTCCTTTGTGCTGGACAGTGTCCTTGTTTGGATATGTTGGATAGTGTTGGTATTCCTCTCACAGGGAATTTGGTTCGAACCGTAGGGTCCTGGGGGTGACGAAGTATCAATATCTCTGTATTGATTGATTCTGCGTGAGGAGTAGAAGGGAGATTCCAACCGGAGGTTGGGTGGGTAGTCGAGGTCTAAGTGTACCCCCTCGAGGTGGCCCATGCTCTGCCCCTACTCGCGGCCGAATTGGACTTCCAATCCGACAGATAGCTCATATCCTGGTTATCCAAGGATCGCTTGGATAACGCCCGCCGCAACTTGTCACTGTGGGCGCGTAGCTATATAATGCAGAACAAGGGACAATGATGACCGGAGTCATCATTATCGAAGCTTTTGCTTTGTGCCACAGTTGGTTGCCTTGTCCTGCTCGTAACACCTACCTAGCCTGCTCCGGCGGAGGTGCTGCTGCCGTCCGATATCTAGGACCCGTTAGTATAGATAATAATATCCCGCTTAGAGAAAGTTGCCATCCTGCTTGCAAAGGAGAGGGCCTGTTCTTCTTTAGTCTTATTAGGTTCGTAGCCGACCCTGGCGAGGGCTGTCTGCCAGTCCGCTAGTTACTCTCAAGGGGGGAGTTCTAACGGATCGATATATTCGGTATTTTTACTTACGAGGCTTACTATTCGTCGTAGCCGTAAGTCTGGTCCTGATTTGTCCCTGTGTCTCGTTCGGAGAGGGTGTCGCTCGTCCAGACGATGGATTCTAGTGGACGCTATATAGAGCTTCGTATCCAGTATCACCTCTGCTAGGGGTAGAGCCGCCTCGCGCTATCCCATCGGGTGCTGATGGACAGCACTTTCGCCAAGGGCGGGGTAGAGCCAATAAGGGCTTGCAAATTTATTAAGTTAAGCAATAGGGCTGCAGTACCTCTATTTCCCATAAATTTTGGGTGTGCCAGAGGTACCAGCAATCTTTGCTAATACATAACGGTACATTACAATCTAAGCAGCCCTTTCGAGTTGTCTGCCGTCGTTGCCGAGCGATGGCATTCCCAGATATCTCCTTTAAAGCCTTCCTATTACCACAATAGGTACAAGGTTAAGATACCTTTCTTGATCCCTTCCTATGCTGTTCCCATGGAATAGAGGTATTCCTTTTGTCTGTAGCCCGTCTAGCCCTAGGGCCCTCCCTAGACAACGGTGCTGTATTCGTCCACTGGGCCCACTGCTCTACGAGGCTCTGCGGAACGTATTGGAGGAACAGTTCAAGCGGGCTTGCCGGCAGCCCCCGTATCTCTTGGGCCCGGGCCGGCACGTTGAAGGGTCGGAAGGAGCCCGGAGGACCATGCTGAGTTGCCGGAGGTTCGTGGGGCCGGACTGTAGCTGCGTCACAGCGCTCGGGCGTACAGTCTGTATTACAGGCAGCAGTAAGGTCTTCTGGGTGGACCTCAACTACTATACAGCTGCGTATAGAAGTAATAGAAGCATTAGATGCAATAGAGGTATCAGAATCACCAGAAGACATCACAGTATCAATCAAAATGGTAATAATAGTGATAATAATAGGCAAAAGAGCATAGGGATGAGTGACGTATCGTCAAGTACCCCTTTAAATGCGGGGTAATGGTGGATACATAGTGGGTATTTCATGGTCTTGGCGAAAGTGCTGTCCATCAGCACCCGATGGGATAGTCGTGGAATTCAGCTTGTATAGGCTGATGTTGAGAGATAATAGTATAGTGGGCCGTAGCCCTGTATAACCTTAACAATTACTAACAGTGGGTACCTTTCGAGGTATGTCCGATGAGAATCCCCTCAAGTGTGCAAAGGACTTATGGTACCTTATCTTATCGACCAGTCTCATTATCGATAAGCTTGAACCGAAATGACGTTGACGATAAGGAACCTAAGGCAAGGCACTGAGTGTGGGTACCTAGGTACCTTATCCCAAGTGGGCAAAGTCGCGACCATTAGGTTGACTCCATCACGTTTGATCACATGATGGTCTGAATTATTACCTAAGCCCAGATTTTTAAGATTTGGCCCCTTTTTATCCCTGTCACGTCAAACGACCGCCGCGCCACGGCTACCCGAACGAACCGTTTAGTTTTGCTGCTTTGCATAAGCCTGCCGCACTCTGCGTTGCGTCCCTCGCGTCCCGCATACCGCGTCCATCTGTCTCCTGGCTAAAGGGTTCGTCCTCTCTCATTTTATGGAAGGAAAAAAGGGATTAACCACGGAACACATCTTGAACGCGTATCCGTACCTTGCCTTACTTTATGACCTTGCTTATCTGAAATTGCCCACTTCCCTTTCTGCAGTTCACAATTCGCTTCATCTTTCTTCCCGTCTCGTCCCGATTGCCGTCTGCTTTTGTTGCGCATCCTTAGGGAGTACGGATACTTCGCACTCAATTCTTCCCCATCATCCATCCCCCTTGAACCTGAGGTTGCAGCTGATCTGACCCTCCATCGATCCCTCCCTCCCTTCCGAAGTCCCGTCCCGTGTTCGCGCGTGTGTGTGCGTGGCCCGCAGGCTGCAGCAAGTTCATGCAACTCAACCCACACTCATTCACCCGTCGGGTCGTGTTTCACTGAAGCAGCAATGAGACTCACTGTCTCAGAGTGTCATTCCAGCCAGAGCGCCTGATACGCCCAATCACCTACCGTCACCACTTTCACCAGTACCCTTCTGTACCTTGCGTACCATGACGGAATCTCACGATAGTCAGACTGGCAGCAGCATCAACAGTCACAGTGTCGCCGCAATGGACGCCGTCGCGAAACCTTCTCACAGCGCCAGGCGGCACAAACCCTCCGCCTCCCTGGGCTCCTTATACGAAGTCCTCGCCGACCTCGACGACAACCAACTCCAGTACCTCATCCAGGAGATGAACCACACTGGTCACCAAAACGTTCCCGTGTCCCAGGCCGTCTCGACGTTCGAGGCTTTGAAATCAACCTCCTCCGCTGAGCCCTTTGCCGTCTCCGAGACGGGCTTCGACGCGCCCGCGCCCGACTCGCCGGCTCGGGAACCGCTGCGTCATCTATCAAAGTCGCGTCGGGGAAGGCTCTCACTTCAGACAGCCTTTCAGAGGGCTCCGTCCTTGAGACAGAGGCATCGCCAGCAGCAGCAGCCAAGTTTGGACAGCCCCAGAGATGACTACTACCTCAACCGCAGCAGCACCTTTTCCCAGGGGCCCGAGCCAGCTCAGAGTCACCGGCCCGCCAAGGGGTACGGTGAATTGCTCTCAAGTCCCGTCAGCAGCTGCTCCTCGCCCGCCGGCGGCCCTGTTATCATGAGCGGGCTGCCCGAACCGGCAACGGTTACGCGGTCCCCGCGGTACGACGAGACCGCTGTACCTCAATCCGCCAGCCAACCACTTCCATCACCACCACCATCAACATCACATCTTCATCATCAACTGCCACCGCCACCGCCATCGCAGCCGCAACTTCAACCCCGCCGGCCGTCCACCAACGGAGCCCGAATGGGACCACCCGCTTACCACCGAATCTCTCGGCCAGATTTTAACCTTCCCGATGGTGTCACGGTCACTGACCTTCTCCACCTCCTCGAGATTGAGTACATGTCCTCCAATAGGCAGCCATCCTCTTCCTCGCGCAGGTCTTCCTCCTCCTCTACTTCATCTTCCGTCTCCCGGCCTTCCTTTTCTTCGCCCTCACCATCGTCACCCGCATTGGCCACTCGCCTCTTTCCCCCACCATCGAGATCATTCTCTCAGACACCGAACCTGCATGGACGCTCACCTTTGCGGAGGTCCTCTTCGAGGCTAGACCTTGCCCTCGGTGCAGAGCGATCGGCTTCCGGAGCCGCCGAAGTCGGAATGGGAATGCTGGAACCACGACAGATGAGGTCAGTGTCGCTCGGTTTCCCGGGCGGCGGTATGGCCACATCCATGTCAATGGACTCGTTGAGCCGGAGTCTCAAGGGCGAGTCACGGCCTCCCGCGCCAGCGCCAGTCTTTGAAGGAATCTTTGACGTTTTGGAAAACCAGTAGACTGCACCTCGGCTACAAATGGTGACGATGAAGTGGCGCATATCGCTGTTCATGGCTTGCTGTGCCGAATAGCCTGGCTATAGTAGCTGCCAGCAGCATTGCTCCACGTAGTCAGGGCGAGGACGATGCAGCAGCGCCAACGCCAGGCACAAACAAGGTGGCGCATTGGAAGATGGGACACGATCTGCGGGAAACGAGGCGGCTAGCCCGAGTTGCTTAAGTCAAGCCGCAGCCAGCAACGAGCTGCTCTCTTCCGGGCAATTATGAGCTAGTAGTATTGGCTCATTTGTCTTTATCAGTCCAGTGCCAAATTATCGCAGCCATTGCTGTTAAGAGCACTGCCGAAGGAAGGAGGATTTGAGAACAATGTAATAAGAAAGCGCTACGATACCCATAATGTACTGAAAGGATAATACAACGGACGCTGATGCGGACTTTCAAAACGAGCCATGTCGAAGTCAACTTGACTGCAACCCGGCACCCACCATAATCGCTGTGAGGAAAATGCTTTTCACTAAGAATTCCTAAGGTGAATCCTCCGCTCCACATCAAAAGAGTTCCTCGCTGGCACATCGAATCGAGACGCATATACACATACGAGCATCGGGGGGTATGTAGCTCGCGGGATTACCGAACCGGTCTTGCAAGCGGCTACCGGGGCGGGATCGCTGACCAGGATCCATTAGCAGTCCGAATGCAAACAAATACAACCCGGCACCAGAAGACTAGGGGTGTTCAACTCACTCTCTGCATCAGCCCATCGGCCGAAAAATCCGGCAATCTGGTCACGAACCCGTATTCTGGGTAGCCTGCTTGGTCGGACGCTCAAGACGTTGAGCCAGTTCCTGTATCGGAGATTCCCGTGTTTGACATTTGACGGAGCTCGCTTCCACCATTCATCGGTAGCGGGTTGTGGTCCATGTTCCCCAGCACGGCGGGCAGCCCAGCGGGCTTTGAAGGATGCCGTTCGGTAACGAAGCCAATATTCACGGAGGAGTTGAGGATGAAAAGACCTCATCCACACCTCGTCCACGTTTCCAGCATTCCCCTCGTGCCCTCCTTCGTATTGAATTCGTAGGATAAGTCGATCGCCTTGGCCAATGTGGTGTCCCAGGACCTTGATGACCTTTGTGGTTGATCTACCCCAAGGAAGGATGTCTTGGCGATCATGAAGCTCAAAGTAGTTGGTCCAGGAGTCGGGGTCACCAAGCTGAACAATGTACTCGGATGCCCAAATTTCTAGCAATTCGCCATCTGGATTTTCCTAAAGTGTTAGAAGCTGGAGCCTGGTTGCATCGTCGGGATTGATTCTGTGGGCAGTGACTCCAAGATATTCGCACTTCTGTTGGGTTCCGCGGGGTACGAGTTTCACTTTCCCCTCACTGCCGAGAAGTGACGGCTTGAAAGCAAGCATTTGTCTCGGGACGTTGTTACCCGGTGGTTGCGTATAAGTCGGTGGGTCTAAAGGATACATCGTCTTAGCACAATCTGACTGCGATGAGAAAGGAGAGAGATCAAGTGATAGCTTACATGTGAGAATCATTCCGATTTCTGGCTTATCTACGTTCATGTGCCACCCGTCTAGCGGTCTGTCACTAGATTGCGCGAGACATGTTAGCTAGAGACCACAACGTGCAGAAAGCCGTCAAGACGAAGGGATGAGCATACACAACGCGGGGCACTCCAACAGCAGTAAGAATATGATCAGTCATGTTGGTGATGACGCCCATGGTCAATGTAGAAAGCGTCCGAGCACTTGAGTGCACCGTGGAGAAGCTCGGTGTTCGTGGCGGTAGCCGAGCTGTTGGTTTGCGGGACTCGGAATTCCGGTCGAGAATCGAATCACTGAAAGTGACAATCAATACTGGTGGTCTTTGCCCGGATTAAGCAGTTGATAGATCGTCAAAGGGATACGTGTATTGGGGGCATGGAGCTGTTGGTGATGCTGGTATATTTTGCCTCGGCGATGTGGAGGTTGCATTGTGGAAGAAGAACCAGGAGGAAGAGAAGGACGTGAAGAGAAGGAAGAGGAACATCCCGTGAAGCGGAAGGAGCGAAGGGGAAGTTCCATTCAATCAGACGGCAATGACGGCAGCTCCTACCCTGTCGTCAGTTAATTCAATGTAAGGTACCTTCCATTGTGAGGTCCGTTGGGAGTTTGCCATGAGGTATTATGGCAGGAGCAGCCACCTGAAGGTACACCTACCTAGGTACTTTACCCAAGGCATGGAAGTCAGCCCTCGGGTGGTCCTTCCCCTCGACTCAAGGCACCTTACCCTACCTTACCTTAGCTCAATTGGGCAGTTGTGCACTCCTGCCTCAAGGTCCCCAAATATCAACTCCATCAACCCAAGGTATTCAGGCATGTAACGTCTGCACCTTCTTGTTCTCATTGTTGTTGTTCTTCTCCTTCCTCTCCTACACTGAGAGACAACGAGGCGTTGCTGCCATTCATTGTGGCTTCCAGTTCTAAGAAACTCATTGACTTCCTGTTGTGTTGTAGAAGACATGGAGTTCAGACGCAATGGAGGAGGCAACTGCAGCAATAACTTGCGGCAGTCGTTGACAAAAGTCACAGCACCACTTGATTCATCTCAGCTCAGCAGAATCTGACCTCTCTAAACGTAGCCTGCTTTCATGGATTCATCTTATTCATTCCCCCATTTCATATTATTAGGATATTAATGAGCAGTAGGCAAAAAGATGTGTTTAAAAGGCGGTCTGGGCCGTGCAAACTGCAATTCCACCTATCTACTTAATTATACGCATCCTTCCACATACCAATACGCAGTTCAATACCAAATTTCTCAGCTTCGTACCGGCGAAAAGGCTGCCCTGCCGACGTGCATCAACAAAGATCCATGGATTGAGAAACCATCTGTGGAAGCCCTCCCTCTCGACAAAAGTAAAAGTGCCTGGCCCTCCCCCGCTTTCCTCATCATGCCTGCCAATAACATGGCCCTCGTTTTGTCCACTCACAGAGAATAGAGGATCCGGAACAAAAAATGTGCATCCCTGTCCCTTGCCTGCGGCGAGGTACGGGCGTAATGTTAGCTACACCCTGCTTGTGGTCCACCTCGCCTTGTCAGACGTGCCACAGAACACATCGATGCCTATGATGCCTCTCAATAACATTAAACGGCTTCTAGGATCAAACTTCGTCCTGTGATTAAATTGAACGTTGCTTTGATGCCTTCTTGGTTCCAACAATTATCCGTGACTTCGGCGCTGCTGGCCGGTGTTTGGCCGCTGATGCCCCCAACACCGACCGGGCGACTTTGAATGATCTTATTTTGTCGTTGGTGGCGTCAACGGCGCAGGCCGAAAAGGGAAGCAAACAATTGAAATTGCCACCGACGGGCGTCGTTGCAATCACAACCCTTTCGATGATCATGATAGAGGGGGGGATCGAGGCGCCCCTGAGTTCGCAGAGACCGACACGGACTTCACTCTTTCATCTCTAGAACCGAGAAGTCATCGTGTGTCGCGGTTTCCTAAACCCATTGCGACACATTGCTTGCTACCTTACGCAGCTTTCAGTTTGTCCCTTAGCTCAGCTGACAATCCAGCAGACTATTAAACCAGTTTATTGTAAGTGTCAAGCTCTTAATTCTGCTCTCATCATCACTGTACCTTAGGAACAAGGGAATTCAGATGACAGTATCGGCATCGCTGGGGGCGATTCCATGTCTTCTTCTTGTACGTCAATGGCTGCCTTCGCGATTCTAACCTGGGTATTGAAGGACTCGTCCGATTTCTTCGGCGCACGACAAATTACTATGCCCGCCGAAACGCCTACGATAGAGCCAACCTCTCATGCCCGCTTGGCAACGGTCCCTGCGATTACCTGGGAGCACCCAAGGGAATCTGTCGAAGGAATGAATGCAAAAGGCGAGGAATTCCGCTTGGAATACCGTCGAATCAAGCTTCTGATCGAAATGCTGGAGTTTCGAGCGGAAAAGCAAAGTGTCGGATTGGAAGCCCAATTCGGCCGCGAGTAAGGGCAGAGCATGGGCCACCTCGAGGGAGTGCAATTAGACCTCGACTACCCACCCAACCTCCGGTTGGAATCTCCCTTTTACTCCTTACGCCGAATCAATCAATAAAGAGATATTGATACTTCGTCACCCCCAGGACCCTACGGTTCGAACCAACTTCCCTGTGAAAGGAGTACCAACAAAAAGATCAATATACCGCGACGTACCTGCCAGACTACGCGAAGCTCGACAAAAAAAGCGTACAATGAAGAGGATGATGATTGAGGCGCATCGACAGCACAAGGACCGTTGAACGAACAGGAACGGCGATTCCTATATAGGTGAAGAGCCCGTCGCGCCAACGGGCAAGGGACCAGCAAGTGGAGAGATGTCGGAGTAATGGAGCTTTCCAACTCGTATTGCTCTCACTTTGGTACGAATAGCGTCCTTCGCTCGTGACGAATAGAAATTTGCAGTCTACACTGCTGTCATAGACAATGCTATCTGCGTGAAATTAGCCCAGTCAGAGGGTGAAGGGACCTAGGCAGGTGTCAGCAAAAATAGTTGAACGTGATTAACAAGGCATTTGCCCCAGTCCTGCGATACCACAGACGCAGGAACAGCTCCATAGTTATGACATGTTAGCAACTATGTTCAAGTTGCTCATAACCTATTAATGACGAGGCACTAGCCATTGACCAAGATTTCTCGCCTATCTGGCTTGTTGTGAGTCAAGCCATGCTGCTTAACTATGTGCCGTAATTACTTTACTCCCGTATGCATGAACTAGGTTCCCAACAACTCGACAACGAAAGAATGTATTATTCAACATACTAATTCTCACCGCTGTTATGATTCTGGCACTGGACCTTGAGCTTTCCTAGAAATGGCGAGTTCTGCTTACGACTTACTTTTGAAGCTCTAGGAAAGGGACATTCACTCATTGGTGGTGGTGATAGGACAAAGGCTATTAATCCTTTTGCCGCTGAACCAAGTAGCCAAGAACATGCATCGACGCGAGTGCCGAAGTCATGTGTCCCAACCCCGCACTTTCCACCGTCATGCCTAAAGTCAGTTTTGAAGTGCCGTGGATTTCCTGGGGTCCCCGCCAAACGGAAAATATCACCCGCATGGGGGTTTCTCGGGGTTTCGGCAGAGTCGGAGAACAACGGTGTATCAAGTTTCTACCTAAGAACGGTGATGAGTCTCCTGAGCTCAATAAGACCACCACGTCCGACCCAGCAAACTTCCGATGAACTCTTCTTTCACAAGTCTCTGCCCGTGAAACCCTAAAGGTTGATATCAACTACCTGAAAAGCTGCCATTCAGTCGTGACTCTGACGCCTTGACCTAAACAGCATGGCTGAGCCCACGGTACTTATCGTAGGTGGTGGGACATTCGGCACTTCAACGGCCTACCACCTCTCTCGAACCTACCGAGACACCAGTCGCGTAATTGTAGTCGACCGGTGGGCACCGTCCGACCCTGGAGAAAACAAAGCCGCCGCCATAGACGTCAATCGAATCATTCAAACAAACTACGTGAGACCGCTTTACTGCAACCTCGCCAGCGAAGCCATTCATCCGTGGTTTTGGGATATCAATCTTGGTCACTTCTTTCACAAGACCGGGTGCGTGACAATCGACGAAGAAAACAACCAGTTCTCCGACGCCGTGCGAAAGACACTCAAGCAGAGAGGCTCTGACTATACCACTGATGCCGATGTTGAAGATTTCAAAAAGCAATGGAAGCCCTTTGAGGGCTTAGAAACAAGTGGGCTAGGGAAAGCATTCTTCAATCCAGAGGCTGGGTGGTGCGATGCAGCACTGGCGACCCAAAATTTGATGGCCGCAGCGAAACGAAATGGGGTTGAGACAATTGCTGGAGAAGTGGTAGAGCTGATGTTCGATCCGTCTGTCGGACGAGTGCTTGGTGTAAGAATGACAGACGGCCGGAAATTGACGGCAGACCGAATCGTCTTGTCAGCAGGTGCCTGGACGAGTCATCTGCTTGCGCCGATAGAAGCTTTGCTTCGTCTCGCACCTCAGGACCGAATTGAACGGCAGATCACAGCAGTTGGCAGGGTTTCAGCTTACTACAAGCTCTCGCCCGAAGAAACAGAGAACATGTACGAAGCTGGCATGCCGATCGTCATTTATAAATCTTGTGGGATCCTGACGCCGCCGTCACGAGAGAATCGGATCATGAAGATTAATGACCTTCGAACCGAGTTCGTTAATCGAGTTGCCCTATCTGAAGGGCATGTGGTATCTGTTCCGTCTGGAAGGGGACAAGAAGATGTGCCGCAGAAGTTGAAAAACGAAAGTCAGAAACTCTTGAACACCATGATGCCTGAGTTTGCGCAGAAGAAGATGCCAGACCGATGGCGAATATGCTGGGATGCAAAGACGCCAACAGAAGACTGGCTCCTTTGCCGCCATCCGCGTCCAGAATTGGAAAACCTCTTCCTAGCCGTCGGAGGAAACTTTGATACTTACAAGTACGTGAAGCTTCTTTTAACCGGTACCGGAGGATACTCCAGTGTAGATCTGGCTAACAAATCAAACCCAGATTCCTCCCAATTGCTGGAAAATACATGTGTAACATCCTACAAGGGAAGAGTAACGGCCGGGAAAAGGATATCGCATGGGGCTGGAAGGATGAAGCCACCCTAATGAATGCCAAGAAGAGAGAGTTGGGCCCCAAGTCAAGAACTTCGTCATTGCCTGAGTTCCGATCATTCGAAGAGACCAACCGGTCATATAAGCTCTAGTCAGATCAGGATGTCTCAAGTTCGTCGTAAGCCAACATGAAGTAAACAAAAAAAGCCATATCGTCCTTAAAAACTGGAAATTGGAATGGACATGAAATGCGGTTGCAAAACTAACAGATTGTATTGATAAACAAACCTAGCTAGTACCTAACCTTATGTTGAACTAATCTGGATTTTGCAAAAGGGTAGCATTATTAGCCCCGAATGGATTCTTTCTTTCAACCTGCCTCACTAACTCTGCATGCTGCTTGCTCCTAGGTATAAATCTAACTGGGAAAGCCGTGAGATATGTTAAGATACCCGGCTTAGGTTTTACATCTAGCTCTATTCCCTTGCCATTCTTATCCATACCCTTAGTAATGGTGAAAGCGGCGAGTGTTTGCGCCATATTTATCAAGAGGCTTGAGTCGGCAAAGAAACGTTCGGGGCATATCCTGCGGCCGTACCCAAAAACTTTAGTCGTTCAATCTCCTATCTCTGACATACTGCATTGATACAGCCCAGTCAGACTCTTTGATGGGAATGGAATAAAGCTAGTTTTGGAAGATTCGAAAAGGGGTGGCATAGGTGATCTTCCGTGCCCAGTCGGGTAACTGGGGCTAACATCACCTCGACGCCGCCAAGGTACCGCTTAACAGTGACGAATACCAATAGGCTTAGCGAAATACTTCGTTCGTCCAAGAACACTATATAGAAGGATAAACTGAATCGTCTCGGACGTCATAGGAATAGATTGGTATGTAAGATTATAACGGTTAACCGTCGTAAACTACGGAAAGATTTCGGAGTGTCTCCAGTTCATATGCACAGCTAGTGTATATAATATGGCATTCGAAAGATATAAAGACTAATTATTACTCTTCGTCTTTGAACAATGGTCGAGACTATTCAATGCGTTTACCTTCATGCCTTGTATGACCAAGGCTCAATTTTCAAGTATGGGAGTGTTTAAGAGAGAGGCTGCACAGCAAGATAGGCGGGCGTCTTCAATCGGATATTAAGGCAATACATTCTTTGAGATACAAGGCAGATTTCCGTCTAGTGCTGCTTTTCTGAGGACTTCCATAGAAAACGCTGTAAGTAGCGAACATACTAGGCAATGGCTGTTGTTAAGTACCAGGCCCTGACTTTTGGCACGGAGAGTAAAAGGCTCGACCAGTTTACTGGTTTTCGCGCAGGCCGTTATCGACAGATAGCTAGGTAAAGTTAAGCACAGGGCCCGACTCAATCTCTCTCAAATTCCCGAGCACTGATTAGCTTGTAGACACAAACAATCTTACCTACATGAAACCTAATGCGCATACCTTTTCTTTATGTTCGTATTCTTTTGGGCCCCGCACGGGGACGAGGCCGTCAGGTGAGACCGGACCAGCCCGGGCCCCGGAAATTATGATCTTGTCGAGCCGCCACAACTCCGGACTAGCGGCGAGGGGCGGCCCGGAGAACGCTTCGATGAAGTCGTGGGCCGAGCAAGCCAAGACTACTCTGGCTCCCTAGATCAGAGAAATTCCTGACAAAGAAGGTAAAAGCGGCGGAGACTGGGAATCATAATTGAATCCGGAAAAGTCCACATACGATACTGAGTGTAAGCACAAGTCTTATGATTGGAGCTTTCAGCCTCGCACGGATGGTCTCAGACATAGGACCTGGCGGAAAGAATTGTCTAAAAGACTAGAAAGAAGCCTATATGAGCCTAGAAAAACGCTTTCCTAGGCTAAGCAGGATAATTTGATAACTTGAAGTGGCTAAGAGATTGTATCAATTCCGCGCCGGCAAACAGGCATCAGTGGCTGCCGACTAGGTGGCTATGATTCTCGTGGCGGTCATCGTCGAAGACAGGAGCTGAATGGCGAAATCGATTTCAAATCAGGTTTAAATCGTACGCAACGTGACAATGTTATAAGATGCCATTTTCCTATTCGACTTTGAGGTTTCTTCTCCTTCACTCCTCACAAGCTCTCGTTCTCAAGTTTCATTAGCACCAACAAGATCATCGCTGCCATCAAACGGCTAAGGCCACAGCTGCCACCGTTAGGGCTCGTGATCAAGGAACTCTGCCACAGGCCAGCCAGACGCAGATTACCAACAACGTGATCCAGATCGTATTCGAGATACAGGGTACCTACGGTGGAGTTTGCAGCCATTTTGGAGACGGTGAGTAGATACGCCGGAGACGTGCGTGAGTTTCTACTTGAGGACTAATGTGCGAGATACAGCTTACGGTCATGGGCTGTTGCTCAGTATCTTCGATGTCCTGAACCAGCTTCTCCAAGGTCTAGAGGGACTTGTTGCTGGCATTGTCGGCCTTGTTGCCGGTGTTATCTACGGTGTGTTTCGTGCTGTCGGTGGTGTTCTTGGGCTGTTGTTTCAAATTCTTTTTGGTTGGGCAGCGCCCCAACCGTCTGGATCCGGCTGGTAATTGACCCAGTGCCAACACCAGATAGAAAGACCCGACAGCTCTCAACACTTTGTTGTCTTGAGGTATAGCATACGCCACTGCACTTTTCCTTTGCTTTAGATATTCCAACCACTTGAAAACTTCCCTTCTACACACAATAATAGTAACAATAGATTTGCATGATTTACTTTAAGGGAAGGTCCAGCTCATAGTGGGGGAAGATTGTGATCTGCCCTATCGATTCTACAACTGGAGATAAAACTTTCGAAGGTGGCAACTAATGGTACACGTAGCATGCCTGCGCTTCCTGTGTAAGGTTGTTAGATCTAACGTCCCACGAGTTTAAGTGACGAAGCCAGGGCATTTGGCTCTAAGATTAGGCAGCCTTGTCTATGGCGATGATCAATCTTGACTTTTTTGACAGTTCATACATAGTCGCTATTCTTTGTGTGGACAGGGCAGAAAGTCATGTAAGGTGCCAGAAAGGGGGTTCTCTCTGACAGCCATCAAAGTAGGATCCTAGTGATCATGGCTTTACGTGCTGTGTTTAAAGATGTTGTTACTTTACATCATTCTTAATGTTTGTAGCACCTTAGTTTAAAGCAAAAGGATGGTATGTTACAACTTTGACTGTCTAGCAAGATTGACATGAATCGCCTTGATATTTGAATAAGCAGACAGGCCAGCCTCACCCAATTCCCTCCCGATACCGCTTTGTTTGACACCACCAAATGGTATCCGCCAGTCACTATCGTTACTTGAGTTGATCCAGACCATGCCTGCCTCAATTCTCTTTGCCACAGTATGAGCACGAGCAAGGTTTGTAGAGAACAGCGCGCTCCCGAGACCGTACTCGGAATCATTAGCCAGGGCAATGGCGTCTTCCTCGGAGCGGAAGCGGCATATGACGACAAACGGGCCGAACACCTCCTCCTGGAAAATTCTCATCTGGGGAGTGACCTCAGTGAACACTGTGGGTTCGATGAAATAACCGGGGTTATCAGGCTCGTGGGGATGACCTCCAAGCTCTAGCTTTGCGCCCTCCTTCTTGCCGATGTCGACATAAGAGAGAATCCTATCGTATTGGGCCTTGGTAATTTGGGGTCCCTGGAAAGTGCTCTCCTCGAAGGGGTTGCCGACCTTGGAGATTCTCGTGACTTGATTTCGGAAAGCTGCCAGGAATTTGTCGTAGACAGTGTCCTGGACCAGAATTCTCGACGTCGCGGTGCAGATCTGGCCTTGATTCGACATAATGCCAGCGTGGGCCCAGTGGACAGCCAAATCCAAATCAGCGTCCTCAAACACAATCAATGGGCTCTTTCCACCCGTCTCAAGCGTAATATTCTTCAAGTTGTTGCTTGCCATCTTCATGATCTGCTTCGCAGTACCGGTAGACCCCGTGAATGCAATCTTATCGACATCTATGTGGGATGCAAGAGCTGCCCCTGTGACAGCTCCAAGACCGTTGATAATATTGATCACGCCGGGTGGGAATCCTGCCTCCGCCACGAGGTTGGCAAAATACGAGATGGAGAGCGGTGTTTGCTCCGCCGGTTTGAGGACAACCGTGTTCCCGCAGGCCAAGGCGGGGCCGAGCTTCCAAGCAGCCATTGCCAGGGGGTAATTCCAACTATAACAAATTCCATGAGCTACTCGAATCGCAAGGTTGGAGAAGAACGAAAGAAGAAGATACGAGTAAGAGCTTGGATGTTTCTTACGGAATGATTTGGCCGCAAACTCCAACTGGCTCGCGAACAGTGTAGGCAAACTTTTCGGGTGTTGTCTCGATCACCTGACCGAATACCTTGTCCGCAAAACCACTGTAGTACGTCAAGGTCTCAATGGCTTCGGTTAGATCTTCATTGAGCGATACCGAGTAGGGCTTGCCATTGTCCCACGTCTCAATGGTTGCCAGCGTCTCACGGTGGTCTTCCATCAACTGTGCAAGGCGCGTCATGCACTTCCCGCGGTCCGAGGCAGGCAGGTCTCTCCAGCTTGGGTGATGAAGGGCTTTCCGCGCGGCCTGAACGGCTCTATCAACATCATGAGCCGTCGCTGCGTACACAGAAATTATTTCTTGTTCGTTGCTGTGCAAGGTTGTCAGCAACACCACGGTCTAGCTTTTGTATCATCGAGCAGTTTTGGGATCGTACGTAGGATTGATGCTGGCTATCTTGCCACCGTCGGACGATTCTATCCATTGGTTGTTGATGAACAATCCTGTGGGCTGGAGGTATGTTCTCCCATTGGGGGCGGTCAACTTTACAGAAGCCATTGTATGAGACCAAGGTAGTTGAATAATGTGACGGAGGGCCAGAAGAAGAAGGGGAAGCTTCCAAGCTCTTCAAGCGAAATATCTTTCCAATTCCCAGAATAATGACGGTGTAACGAGCGAGAGTTTCTTCAATATAAATTGAGTCGTCCGCGAGTAGTCACAAAGCAATCAATCATGTTGATTGCTCTGTCTACGGACGAATAAGGCCATTGCCGAAGCCCCCATTACCAGATTACCCACATTGCGGAGACTTCTATCAGTTGTGAGAGATTCCCCGGCCCGGCATGACACGCTCTCCCACCGGGTGCCTTTGAATGCAAGGACCAAGCACTGTGCGGGGAACCCGCTACCAGCTTGCAAGCTGCAGCAGAGTAAGGCTTGAAGCTGACCGATACCGCACAAGTTTGTCAAGTGTAGTATGAATATGTGAGGGGAAGCCACAAAAGGCATCTTGGTGGAGATGCTTCCCTGCGGCTAGACGCGCTCGGAAGGCGCTTGGTAGGTGGGTGATAGGCATCTAATTCCCGGTCACGACAATACGACCAGGCGTCATGACAGGCCAAATCAGGAAAGAAATTTGGCCAAGCTGCTATCCCCGGTGATCCCACGTGCCAGGTACCAGCTTTAGCTCGCCGTAGGACCGAACGCAAACCGGGGCCAGTGTGCCGGGGTGCTCCCTAGTCTCGCCGCGCCGCTGGTATCAGATCCAGTTGATCAGATGGCTGAGAGCGAGGCTCAATCAGGAAAGAAACTAGGCCATAGTCTAGACAGCGGCCAGCCTCTATCAAGCCCTCGTACTTGATGTATACAGTTCCCCGTAGATGCCTTGCTTTGTATTTCCGCGGCTGGAGCTAACTTCAGACACGCTCTGAACACACGAAATAGTTCACTGATAAGCGGTTGGCAGACCCCGTAGCGAGCTTGGGACTAATCATTGTACGAATATACTCCTTACGCATGTTTGGACTCAATGGAGATTGATCAGCCCAAGCTGCGCAAGCAGCCGTACGGATAGAGGTGTTTGGCTATGGAGCGCAAGGATGGGGGCCCATCGACTAAGGATTGCGCCATGGATGGCTGACCAAGGGACCGTCACATCCACTCCTGACTCCTCCGAGCACACTCTTAAGTTTTCGACATGCCCTCGCAGTCACAGGCATCACTCAGAACACAACAGGATTTCCCAAGGCCTTTTGAGGCTTGAACTCGTTTACACGATTTCTATAAGCTGGGGCACCATGCACTTGGTCATCGACACTGAGCCGCTGATATCTAGAGATAGGATTCGTGTAAGACTAATCTAGTCCCAGCTTCGTGACTTAACTTAACTGAGCTGACCAGTGACCCTCATGTCCTCTGCGCCGGAAACGACTCAAGGCCGAGCCAACAAATTTGAATGCATGTCGAGCCAGTCGACCTTGTTTTTTTCTCTGGTCCCATTTCCAACGCGTAGCGCTAACTCAAGCTTTCCGGGTGTACGGAGTAGTGATTGCCGACGTCCGCAGACATCTACGTATGGGCAGCGAGCGACATGGCGAATAGACCTGCGAGGCAAGCTATGCTCACAGTTGTGCCTTCCTCCACGGTAGGAAGCTGAAAAGCTTCAAATCTCAAGAGACGACACTGTAACATTTCTCCCGCGGCATCCGGCCACTTACTCAAGAGTCCACTAGGTAGAAATGGGTCTAGTGGGGGGCCCCTTATCAGCTCGGTAATGCATTTAAGCGACTTGACTGGTGCTACCCATGACGTCCTGAACTTCTGATGGAGCATGACTCGATCCACGCACGCTGGGAACGACCCGCCGATACCAGCTATGTGGGGCTCACCCCGCGATTTAGGAGTGTCCAAAGTGTCGACTGTTTGAACTAGTACGTAATTGCTGCAGATAACGCGACCTTGGTCTTGTGATAGCGGGAGTAAGTAACTCACGATGATTTGGGGACTTGAAGACGGACAGTTGATGGTGGCAATGACTTCGATGATCCAACGGCTGTCAAACCTTAACCAAGTACTCGTCGACCGGGCCGTGACTTTGACGGAAAAGAATGCCGGACCATTCTCCTGTAATCTGCACAACGGAAGTAGACTGGTCACAGCCAAGATACGTGCAAACACAGACGCTCTACGCTTATGGAGTGCTGCGCTCTTATTCGACCTTGCGGATCTTCAACACACCAATTTTGACACAACCTCCTGTATCCGTATCCGAATCGAACATTGGGTATTGCGGCCACAGGAAAGCAGAGCGTCAGTGAACGAGTGCGACATTGATCTACTAAGCTGATTACAACCTTGCACGCAATCCGCCTCCTTATCAATTTCCAGGGGGATATTTTGGGCGCTGCTAACCCATCCTTGCATTTCATACAAAAGCACTTCAAATATCTCGCAGGCCACCGCCTACCTTACTCCGAACAGCCAACTCCCTCTTGCGTCCCATCAAACTTTGGACAACGCATTCGCGCGAAAGAAGACCACGGAAGGAACTCAAAGATCGAATTTGCCATTAAGCCACCTCATTCAATATCTCTCTTGAGCTATGGAGAATGACCCGGAATCGAACCCACCGCTCGACCATCTAAAGACCGCCGACCAGGTCGCTCAAGATGCGCAGGATCTCGCTTACCTCGGCCATGACCAGGCCCTTTCGCGGAAGTTCAGCACGATGAGCATGCTCTTTCTCGCGATTTCTGTCCTGGGAACCTGGTCTACATTCGCGCAAGGACTTTCGAGTGGTATCACCAGCGGCGGACCAGTTGCCATCCTCTGGGGCCTCGTCCTAGTCCTATTTTGCAACATTTGCGTGGCTGTATCATTGGGAGAGCTCTGCAGTAGTATGCCAACAGCACTCGGACAGGCGTACTGGATATTTCGTCTGTGGCCGTCTGGCCGCTTTGTGTCCTACCTCTGCGCATGGATCAATACTTTTGGATGGTGGACACTTTCTGCCTCACAAGTTGCTTTCATGGCCAATTTCATCTTGAGCATGAAGGTCATGTTCGTACCGGACTGGTCCGAGGTTGGTGTTGGGTGGATCAACTTTCTTCTCTATCTTGCCGTAACTCTTGTGGTAACGGTCGCCAATCTCGTTGCCTGTAGGAAAGATGCTATCCTACCAGCCTTCAACAACTTTGTCGGAATCTGCTTTATCGGACTCTTTTTCATCTTCAGTCTGGCACTCCTCATCTCCGTCGGAGTAAGGCCAAACTTGGAGTTCCAGCCAGCCTCATTCGTCTTTGGACGATGGATCAACCAGACGGGTTGGGGAGACGGTGTTACCTGGTTCACAGGCCTTCTTCAGGCTGCATACGGGTTGACGGCCTTTGACTCGGCCGTCCATTTGGCTGAAGAAATTCCGGCACCACGCAAGAATATTCCACGCGTCATTTGGCTCTCAGTCATCCTGGGAGCTCTTACCGGCTTTATCTTTATGGTGGTCTGTTTGTTCTGTATCCAGAACCTCGACACCATCTTGAACCCTCCTACCGGTCTCCCTTTCATGGACCTGGTTCATGAGGCTATCGGATTGCAGGGGGCAACTGTACTGCTATCACTTTTCATCTTCAACGGTCTTGGTCAAGCTATCAGCATTGTCACCACCGCCTCTCGTCTGACCTGGGGATTTGCGCGAGATGGCGGGATGCCCTGGAGCAGCTACTTCTCTGGTGTGAATGAGGCTTGGCGAGTGCCGGCGCGCGCATTATGGCTTCAGGGAGCCATTATTGGCGTGGTTGGCGTGCTCTATTTGTTTGCCAACACGGTGCTTGAGGCGATTCTCAGTGTCAGCACAATCACCCTTACGATATCCTACGGGATGCCCATCCTGACTCTCCTTCTCGTCGGGCGAGACAAGCTTCCGCCTGGAGAGTTCAAATTGGGGCGTTTTGGGCCTGCAATCAATTGGATCTCCGTCATCTACTGCGTTATTACTACGGTCTTCTTCTTCTTTCCATCGGCTCCCAATCCAGCACCGGCAGATATGAATTACGCCATCGCAGTCTTTGGGGTCATGATGGTGGTGACTCTGGGTTTCTGGTTCATCAAGGGGCAGTACACTTATCTCAAGACTGATGACGCAGCCGAGCGAATCATTGAGGCACAAAATGCCGAGGTGACTACTGCTCCCATTCCTCGCAAGATTTAGGCGCGCTCTGCGAGCACAAAGCTGGAATGTCGCCGTTGTTATCTTGTATTGTAATAATCTTTGAACAATATCATTCGTAGCACTAGATTCAATGCTGTGTACTTCATTAACCTCGACTTGTGACGAAGGAACACGATATCATTACAATGGCTCTAAGCACATGATGTATTATCTTACATCTTGTATAAGGTGCTTCGTACTAGACGCCCCAGGAAGCTCATGTCTGAATATTCCCGAGTACCTAGACGCGACCACTGAATCAACTAGCGCACGTGACATGTGCCACGTTGATCACCAGTGGAACCCGTTCTCAGGACAAAGTGGGTTGATGGAGACTTGAGCCCGCCGGCCTTGGCACGCACGCCCGCCCACCGTTCCGTCAGCGTCTCACCCCGAAATGACTGCCGATTCAGCCGCCGCCGCCCCATCGATCAAGGGGCTGGGAGGGCCTGGGGGGGGCTGCATGGTCGATTTTCCTTCCTAATTCAGTAAGTAACTTGCCCATGGCATCCCCTGGTCTTAGCTAGACCTGTTGTTATTCACATTTACCTTCACCTTGACACACTTAGCTTCCAGAACCAATCTGGATCACTCTTTTGTTGGTTCGAAGCGCGCTCTTGATTGTAATTCCCTTAACCTGAGATTGACTCCGAGTAAGACTTTATTACGAAATCGGCCGGCAGCAATGCCGGTTCAGTTGTCGCCCCCCGGCCCGGTCTTTGCTCTCCCCAAAATCTCCGCTTTCCGCTGTTCCGCTACAGAATGGAGCTAAGCCGCGCCGAAATCGCCAAGCGCAAGTTGCTTGACAGGGACACCCGGCGACAGGGTCCATGAAGACGCCAGAGTTACTTGCACTGTGGTCTTGACATGGTAGTGCGCATGGCAATTTATCTTACGTTTGTCAATAGGAGAGCTCTGCAAGATGCTGCAGTTGGCCCTCGTACGATTGTCACGTCCGCAAACGCCCCAGCATCACTTTCCCAACTATAAGTAGACTTGCTCGCATCACAACTTTGGCTTTGTATTGTTACGACCCAATCCTCTCTACCAGGAACTAAACCGGATACTACTTCACTTCCTTATTTTCACCAGAGCTCTAGCCTGTCCGCCAGGTCTCTCACTTCATCACATATCGACAATCGACCTTGGTCGAATCACAAATACCACCGTATGGAATATTTGCACAGCCCAGACAGCCCTCATCATGATTGCAGACACCTCTTCTATAGCCGGCTACACAATCTTCCGGGAAGAGCCCAGCGATACCGTTCCAAATCTGTCTACTCAGCATCGAGTACATCCTCTGGGTATGGATATCAACTCCCTATTCCTGTCACCTGGACTTTTTGCGACGTTTGAGCTAACCACATTTTCCTTCTTGAAGATCAGCTATCGATTGAAGAGATCCAACTTGCCGCGAAACTCATCAAGAACTATGCTAGCCCCAAGGACCTCAAATTCAACTGCCTGACTCTGCGCGAGCCCAAGAAAAACGAATACGCTGCCTTCAAGTCTGGCCTCGGCCCTCGCCCCGAACGCCGTGCCTTTGCCATTGTCATCACCAAGGGAACTTCTCAAGTGACTGAAGTTGTAGTCAACTTGGAAAGTACCCAGGTGGAATTATGGAAGGATGTCACGGACGTCGCCCCGACTCTCACCTTGGAGGATCTTGACATCTGCGAGACCGTCACTCGGGCCGATCCTCGCGTCATCCACGCCTGCCGCGAAATCGGCATCTATGACATGTCAAAGGTCTTCATTGACGCATGGGCCATCGGATTTGATCATCGATGGGGCACCGATAGCCGCCTCCAGCAGGGCATCGTCTACTATCGTAACTCTCCCGACGATAACCAATATGCCCACCCGTTGGACTTCTCGGTTGTCGTCGACACTGAAAAGGCCGAAGTCCTTTCCGTCGATATCCGCCTGGTCAATGGCGAGCGTACCAAGGTGTCTCTCCAAGAGCACAACTACTTGCCTGAGTTCATCGGCAGTGGCTACCAGGACAGGCTCAAGCCCATCGACATCAGCCAGCCCCAGGGAGTCTCTTTCCGGATGGATAAGAATGAGATCTCCTGGGCTGGACTGAAGATGCATATTGGCTTCAACTACCGTGAGGGCATTGTTCTTTCCGACGTCAGGATTGACGATGAGGGGCGCGAGCGAAGCCTCTTCAACCGCATCAGCGTGGTTGAGATGGTGGTACCCTACGGCAATCCCGACCCCCCGCATCAACGCAAGCACGCGTTCGACGTGGGCGAGTATGGTACTGGCTTCATGACCAACTCCCTCAAGCTCGGATGCGACTGTAAGGGTGCTATCCACTACATGGATGCCATCATGGCTGTTGGGAGCGGAGAAGCGGCTGTTGTCAAGAATGCCATCTGCATTCACGAGGAAGACAATGGTCTGCTTTACAAACACACCGATTACCGCGACGGTACCGTCATCTCAGCCCGCGACCGCAAACTCATCATCTCGCAAATCATCACAGCTGCGAACTACGAGTATTGCTTCTACCACACTTTCCTCCTGGATGGTACCTACAAGCTGGAAGTCAAGTTGACGGGCATGCTCAATACCTACTGTATGCACCCCAGTGAGACGGCGGCCCCATACGGTACAGAAGTTGCCCCGTTCATCAACGCCCACAACCATCAGCACATTTTCTCTCTGCGGGTGGACCCTGAAGTCGACGGCCCCAACAACTCAGTCCTGCAGAATGATGCTGCGCTTTCCGATGATCCGCTCGGTTCCCCTGGCAATCTTTATGGTAACGGTTTCTACTGCAAGAAGACGCCTATTCGAAACGCCGGTGGCGCCGACTACTGTCACGAGACAGGCCGCTCTTGGGACATCATCAACCCCAACAGCGTCAATCCCGTGGCTAAAAAGCCTGTCGCCTACAAGATTCTCAACAACAACTGCCCTACCATTCTGGCTAAGCCGGGAAGCATGGTAGAGAAGAGGGCTGCTTTCACCAGCAAGGCACTTTGGGTCACCCCCTACAAGGACTATGAACTGTTCCCAGCGGGTGATTATGTATGCCAATCGAGCGGCGACGAGGGCCACCCGCACAACTCGACCATTGTGGACTGGGTCAGCAAGAAGGAGCCGGTTGAAAACACCGACATCGTCTGTTATATCCAGTTCGGGCTAACGCACTTCCCGCGCACAGAGGATTTCCCTGTCATGCCGGCTGAGCCTGTTGGGGTCATGATCAGGGCTTCCAACTTCTTCGAGAGGAACCCAGCTCTGTGGGTGCCCCCTTCGATTGTGGCAGTGGATAAGACATCCAAGAACGCATTCGCAAAGCCGGAGCCCGCTGAGTCGTGCTGCGGCACCAGGGACAGCAAGTTGTGAAACCCCGGGGTATCGCAATAGGTTCTGGGACACTGGCCTCTGTCCGTGGCAGCATTCGCATTCCATAGTAGTAAATATACAGCACAGTCATTTCTGCCAAGCAATAAGACCGAAATCGTCTTGTATTACCTTCAGTCAAGAATTTGCCTGCGAACACCTCACATTTTGATTCCTACTTGCGGATGAGAAGATGGCTCACCTTGAGATGAACTTGTACATTCGTGAATCGTGACGCCACCATGAAGTTTGGCCGATTACGCACACATAAATGAACTATGACTGTTTGTTTTGCCCGATTCATCTCGTTGAACATCTGCGTAAAACTTCATTGGGCGCTCGCGGCTCAATCACACGCCAACTGACAGGTCACAGCACAAGGACATGTGGACTGAGGTGGCTGAAGATTTCAGGCCAAGTTTTCTCTCCAGACTTGCACAGCCAAATAGTCTTGAAAAAAGATTTGACAGCGTCGATAGAAGCGAATCGCATATCATCGTATATCACATCGGCCATGTCAAGAACGGCCTTTTGCTCTTCTGCAGATGAAACGTGGGCTCCGGCGATGAACAGCGGGAAAACGATGCAGTTGAGGTTGTTTGCCTGCCGAGGGATCTCAAAGATGCAAGCGAGACAGGATTTGACATGCTGCTGTACAAGCGGGTGACGAGTCGGGAGGCCGCAAATGGCTCTGTATAGATACAGCAAGGCGGTGTGCTGGAAAATACGAACGAGGGCGAATGCATGTACAGCCTCGGCTTCTGTCGTAGAGCAGTCGGATACCTCTGACGGGCTCTGGCCGTCGGCATCGGCGACAGTCAGTGGCGCATACACTGGGCGAAGGGAAGCTTCAAATTGACGGATGCGCTCAATGGACAGATCCTCGACCATGCTCGTCGTTGCTTGTAGGTACAGGCCCATCTTGGCAATCTCGCGAAAGACAGATGCGAGGGAGCATCTATTTAGCGGGTCGCGACCCCACCAAACAGGGCCCTTGTCGAGTAGATGCCACACTTCTGGAGCGAATGCCGGAGGCTTCCCCTGGATCATGGAAGTGGTGAGATCCGTCGTTGCGAACTCTGAGAGCAGCATATGCAGCGGCTCGGTGGCCGTCGATACTGCTGCCTCGATGCCACCTAGGTGGCTGAGGATAGCTAGAATGCCGTTGTAATGACTAGAGGTTGAGGCCGATTTGAGGATGCAGCCCATGTATCCATCGTCAAAGTACAAGAGGATGACTGCAAATAGAAGCCCGATCGTGGGTTCATTCCGCTTGGGCTCAACGTAGCAGCGGTCTATCTCGGCTCGAACGGCAGCCAGGCATTCCAGCCGCTTCTTACCGAGGGAATCGTGATCATGCGTACCGTCTTGCAGGAGCCTGTGAGAGTCAGACAGCAAACAAGCAGCGAGCAGAACGACGCGGTGCTCCAGAGCCACCGAGCTTGGGGGAGCACACGGTTCCTCTGCAGTGGACAGAAGTGGCCAGACGCGAAGATGGAAGTAGTCAAGAGCACGACGCTCGCAGACCTCGAGGTAAACGGTCAAGTGTAAGTCGTTTCGTGGAATGCAATAGGCCGGAGGGACATGAGGGGTTGGCCGCGTGCTCCATCTAATTAGTCGGCTATTGTAATCGCACTTGACGCCAGAGGCAGCACATTGCCGGCAAGTTGGCTTGGAGAGACTGCATTTGATGCGTCGCTTTTTGCAGGACCAACATGAGCCTTTGACGACTCTGACTCGATTAGGAGGCATGTCCCCACGAGTTGCCCTGGATGTGTTTTGAGAGTAGAGTACTCGATTTCAGACGGAATCGAATGATGGACTTGTAAACTGAAGTGTTCTCGGTGGGCGTTGACGCAGTAGGAGTCTCTGCATCATGCCCAGTTTAGTTGCGTTCAATTGAGCATTATTGGGAGGAATGAACGGCGACTCACATCCGGCATACTTGAGCTACCGGGCACTCTCTGCCAGTATGGGCGACAAGACGTGTTGCCACTAAAGTGATTCCGACGTGAACGATCCATGCGGCAGGTAAGGTGGATTTCCAGCAGGAGGAGGCAACGAGGGTGTCGAGGGTTGAGAGGTATGCAGAGGCAGGTGGTGAGAAAGTCGACACAAGAGGAGAAAGTATAGGCTTAGTTGTTGATAGAGACTTGGTGTTTACGGCGGCGGACGGGAGTGCATGAGTGACGGAATAAGTGTCATCCGATGTGAGTGTACGGAAACTTCGAAGGTGAATCGAAAGGAAGATCGCAGCTGGATCGACGGACAGGAGCGGGGAGAACTTGTACGATTCCAGACTTGCCCGACCATGGGGTAGGAAGGAGGGATCTTCCCAGCGACTGTGTGCCGGGCTCGTGTGCCTTGGTCACGTCGGGTCCAGTGGGAGACGTCCAGTACTGGAGATGCGGGGCAAAGGAACGGCACTAAGACATATCAAGGATTACGTACTCCATACACCTCAGCTTGCACCGTAAGATATCGGGGAGAGATAAGGATCATATCCGCACCGAATGATGATGTAAGTGACGCTCCCTTGAGCCTTTAGGGTATGTTCCAATTCCATGGTAAGGTAAGTCGGAGGGTGGATCACAATCCCCTATCTAAAGTTCCATGATAAGGTATCCATCCGCCCAGTGTGTACGGTGACTGAGTTGGCTGACCTGAATTCCGAGCTCAAGTGTCAGAAAGGGACTTGCTTGGTTGTTCCGCTGAAATACCTTCAATTGCTATCCGTATCGGAGCACTGACTACTTACTTTTGGAAGCAGAACATCGTGCGTTGCTGGTGGTAATAAAGTTCAATTGATACGTCAAATTCTGCATGCAAAGGAGGATGCAATAATAGTTGAAATTCATTTGGTAGCCTTTGGCCTTTCCGAGACAGTCTTCCTTGCTGAACCTTCCTCCTTCTGAGATTCTTTATGCTTCGCCGTCTCTCCACTATCTTGCTCGCCTTTACATGTCTTTTCATCCCCAACAATATCTTCATTCCAACCCGGCACAAGGTCATTATCAGCTTCCCCTTCATTCGTATCCCACCCTCTCAGAACCCTCCTCGCTGCCTCTCTACCGACAACGGGTAGTCTCTGAACGCCATTCTTGCGCGCCACTTCTGGCACCAGCCTTGGATCCAGCAAGCCAACTTGTACCAAAACGCTTGCTTGATCCCAATACACATGCTCGTGGTAAAGTTTGCCTCCTCTCAGCCCGACGATGCTGACAACAAGCACCTCGACCCGCTTATTCATTGCCGGGACGCCCGGTAAGATCCATGGCATCTCTTCCGTATGCTTGAAACGGACGTGGACTTCATCAACGACACGATCAGTCCCGATAGTGCGGGAAATAAGCGTGAGTTTCATTGATGGGGGGTTGCTGAAGAATTGCTTGTAAAAGGTTTCAAGCTCTTGCGCTCCGACACCTCCCGTCAATGTCGGGATGTGAGTGACGTGAGGGGTCTTGTGTGTCGTATATGATGACAGCGCTTGACTTAGGTTGCGAGTGAAGAACTTGCCTACAGTGGGTCAGCTTTGAGTATCTGCCCAGGGTAACTCTCCTGATATTATGCGAATATCGCTCGCGAGCTCAACTCCTACAAAGAGCATTAGGCTCAGAAAGACACGGGAATACTTACCCTGTACGTTTTGCTCCAACACAAATTCCATGTCAATGTGATTGTTGAACGCCTTCCTCGCGGCACCCAGGCTGCGGCTCCACGCCAACTCAGCGGAAACTTGGTGGTACTCATCCAGATCGTGCTCTGCAAAACCAGGCTCCGCGTCGTACGTGTAAGTAGGATATGCCAGCTGCAACATTCCGCCGATGCCCATGCCGCTTTCCACCTTCTTGCGGGTCGTGCGTCGCTTACCTTGGATCCCGACCATCTGACTCTGCTTCGTGACACCAATCTCCTCGCCTGCCGCGAGATGAACAAGAGCCGAAATGCTGCTGGGAAAGTGACCCTTGGGATCGGGAATCGCCGTCGGGTAGTATGCAATGAGCAGACCCAGCTTGAACTCTGGGTTATTGTCCATGACGTGATAGTATTCCAGACAGGCTGCTGCGGCATCTCCGTATGCTATTGACTGGTTAGGTGACATTTTGTACCCTCTATTGATTTGATAACGATACGTTACCTACCTACAATCCCAAATGTTTCGCAGGGACCGATGTCATTCTTGCTCAATGATCGGAGCTTGCCCCGGTACTCCTTCGCGCTGCTCCCCATTGTGAGGTACTCTACGTCAAAGTTCTCGTCGCGCCACTCGTCTAGCGTAAGCTGGTCGAATTCTTCACTTTCCGCACTGATGTATAGCTTTGGTCGACTTCTTGGGAAGTCCTTGGACAGGAAGTTAGGGTCTCTGTGGACGGGACGGTTCCAGTTGTCTGAGACGATGCGCGCGTTGCGTCCTTCGGATTCCGGCACGGCGGCCTTGACCAGCTTCGGGATGTCGATATTCATGGTCAACTGATCTTACAGTCTCGGCTCAAGAATATGAAGATGATTACTATTCTGCGAGATGTTCAGAAGACTAGCAGTGACCTGCTCACATTTATAACACACCATACGGAATATGAGAACTTGAAATCGCCTGGTTGTGACGTCATATCTTTCCCCGAGGTGCCGGACACAGACCCGTTGGTCTGTGGGGTGGATTCACAGCCAATTACATCACGGCAGAGATGAACAGACAGGTCAAGATCACGAGCGTCGCTGTTCCGTGTTTCTTGTATTTACATTTGCGTAGACGTAATGTCAGTAGCGAAGTAGTTGAAGATGACAGGTGCACGTTTCTATGTGCTCGTCTCAGATCCAGGATGGTCTGTCTCCGTAGAGAGTATAGCCTGTCTCTTCCTTGGCATGCCCTAATCTGTCACGGGATATGACGTGCGCAGCGCCAGTTTTTAAATAGATTGGAGAAATTGAAACTAATGAAAGTTAGGAGCGCTAAAGAAAGATCGTGGAAGATTCAACTCTTCGCAACGCGGTCAAGACTGAGGCTTTTTCTCTTGAGCAGTGATCCGCAGACTCAACTAAGGAGGTGCTTCGACACAGAGAGGTTGTATCGTGCTCAAAGCAAACGCTAAATTACTCTGTCTGGCGCGTAGCTCAAGAGATGTTTACTCCAGCGTGGGAGCACAGCGTACGAGGGAAAGCAGGGTGTGTAGCTGGCGTATTCAAGGTGAACTGGCACCTGGGCTTGACTGCGTTTGGAGGACCACCGGTGCATTTCAAAATTGTACAAAGGACCACACTGTCTCATTGTTATTGAGGCCAGTTGCTTACAAGTCGGCTGTGTTAGTTCCACGACCGCTTTGTAAGGCGCCTGCAATGGATAGACGATCAGATGGTACGTGTCTACCAGCCTTCGCTGAACATTGCTTTCATTGACTAAGTCAACATACCCACTTCCTGGCCCCCCCCTGTTTCTGGCACCACAAAAACGATGGGATCACAACCTAACCTCCTCATTACTATTAACTATTGATCCTCAACCTCACCCACTACAATACAACTACCAGCCTCACTAGGGCAATCAGATTCGCTAGATTCAGCCGTAATAACCTCTTTTTCACCCGCTTCGATTTAAGCTCGGTGGATATCCCTAATATTCGCGAACTTCGTATTAGGATTAACTTAAACAACCTTCCTCTTCCTTACTATAGCGTTGGTAACTTAAGCCCTTAGAAGGGCCAGTTGCTGGTAGGTAGTTACCAGTTACCAGGCCTGCTCTATGAAGCCTTTTTTCACATTCCTGAACAGCAGCCGTTGAGTACTGGTATCATTATCGAGTTAAGTATATAAGTATAGTTGACTACTGAGCTCTGCCAGCTTCCTGGGTATCGACCAGGCTACTATAGAGGTAGCAGAATACCATAACTCAACTGGGGTAGTTAGTTAACTATTATAGCATCTCTTTCTACCCTAGCTAGCTAGTTTCACCTCCACGAAACATCTCTCCAGCTTGGCACGGGCTGTTAGTGCCATGCTAAGGAGGGGCCCCAGTCCCCGCGGTTTGCCGCTGCGCGCTGGGGTGGATTATTGTTGTTGTTGTTGTTCTATTTAACGCCATGGCGGCAAGGGCGCAGCCGCCCTTGCGGCAGACCTCCCGGAGGGTATGTGGCGTGAAGGGTCGCAGGCTCTAGCTATATACTATATAGTGCACGCCGTATCCTGACGTCCTCCAAATCTTGCTCGTGAGCTACTATGTGTTCTATCCATCCCTAGTTCCCACTGGTGCCCTAGTTCCGTTATAACCATCTGGTTTCTTAATAGAGGTAGTTTGTCGTTTGGAGGATAGGTTATGACCTATCTCCTAGTACCGCGGGCAGATCTTCTGGAAGAAGTCTGTCACGCAGAGGAAGGCCTGGAAGCCTTCAGAGTCAGTGATTAGCCCCTTGAAGTAGCGATCGAGGGACCCTATAGGTCCTACGGGCTCCTGGCGGCTGTAGGGGTAGAGGGTGGGCCACTGTTGCCTCCTCAGTAGGGTCTTTCGGCAGTAGACTAGATGGTCTGCCTCCTTAACCCATCCACAGGAGCAGGTGAGTAGTGCTTCTGTGTGGTTAAAGCGTTGGTGATATTGTTCAAAGTCCCCGTGGCCTGACCGTGCCGCGAGGAGGTGATGAAGGGCAGCCCTAGGGAGGCCAAGTTCAGGAGGGCAAGCAAGGGTAGCCTTGAGCCCTAGTTGGGTATAGCGGGGAGTTGCCTCTTGTTTCCACCACCGTCTATATTGGCGTCTTGGCCGCTCTTTAGCAAGCCACTTGATACCTGATAGAGTAGCTAGTTGGCACCTAAGGACTGGTAGAGTTGGCTGGGGTGGATTAGCTATACGCTAATCAAACCCTTAACAACGCACATTTTCCCCTCGAATCGAGCCGAGGATTATTCAACCTAACGAGCCGCCGTCGACTCGAATTCGCCTTCCGCAGGCTAGACGAAGTCTTCCTGGTAGGGCAGGGAGCAGAGGTTCCATCTAGCCTCCCGAAGGAGACGGGCGACTTTCTTTCCCGGCGCAAGTGGCGCTTCCGGGCCCAAATTGAACATCACCGACCGACTTTTCGACTTCGCTCTCTCAGCACCTTTGCCCCTTAAACGATCGAAGACTCCCTCGAAGAGACGAAACGACCATTGGGTAGCGATGTATAGCCACGGCTATATACAGCTATGCTCGTTACAGAACCTAACAGCAAGCCCTACAACCTAGTCTTACGAGGTTTTGCCCCTTGTGGTTTCCCTTGTGGCGGTATTACCTATTACGATATACTCCGGACGGTTACTGGAACGTTGTGTAAACCAGAAGCCTGCGGGCTCTGGGTCGAAGGATAGGAGATACTGGCGGAATTGCGTTTTAGGGACGACCATAGCACTGTCTCGGGCAAGCCAGCGGCACCCAGAGACAGGTTAAACACATAGTTGCCTTTGGGCACGATTTGGAGGACGAGCTGGACTGTATCTAGTGATAGCTATAGGCCTACGGCCCTCCACGCCATATATCCTTCGGGAGGTCTGCCGCAAGGGCGGCTGCGCCCTTGCCGCTACGGCGTTAAAATACAACAACAACAACAACACTGTACCTACGAACCACGAATAAGAATACGAGGCATTTTGCGAGCGATATACGCAAGGTCAACGACACTATGCTCAAGCCGGGTCATCTCCTGGGCATTTTCCAATAATCCGTAACATCTTTTCAAGAAGTATTTAAGTAATATATGGCACTCAGCAAGACGAATCTTCAAGAGTGCCGTCGTCCCCTAGTTAAGTATATTCGCCCGGAACCATAGCCAATATACTCCGCACATCACCACGCTAGGTATTGGATCGCGAGAATAACTCGGAACGTGCCAATATCCGAATTGGTTTGGCTAATGATCTGAGGAAAAGAACGCGACGTACGCGATGGGTGTTGGAGTGATCCCTTGATCCCGTGAAAAAGCGCAAGTTACCGTCGGGTTTCTTACAAGCTGGGAAGGATCCTGCTCGCTCTTTCCCGGTAGGCAAAGTCGCAGAAGAATAGGCTTGGTAGGTTTTAGATATCGAGGTGACCGAGCTACTTCGTCAGAGAGGCATTATCGCGGGAATGTCTTAGACCGGACACTACATCAAATGACGAGGTGCTCGCGGTGCTAGGGGATTGCATAGCGAAATCGGAAGGTCGGACAGGTACTCGAGGGGTATCGCCAGTATCGTTATATACTCGACGTTCTTTACTCGGGGATAGCGTATAAGGCTTCTCAGCCGCGTCGTCGTTCAAAGCAAAGGGACGAGGGTAGGAGGCCAATAGCGTTATTATATAGTTATCCGGCGTTCGATACTATTTACGGGGAGAACAATAGCTAGCAATAGTGTAGTCGTCAGAGCCGGGGAGATCCGAAATCCAGCGGGAGATAATAAGTTCGATTATATTACCTACCTGTTTATATAAGAAGATACCTAGCAAACGTAAAGTATGTTCCTTATTAGCTTCTTAAAGGATAACGAGGTCGCCATTTTAGGTCTAGTAGCGCGAAGGGGAGTAGGTGGAGTAACCCCAGCTGACGATAAGATAATTCGGAAGTATCCAGAGTTTCCCAGACAATAGATACACAGATCCATATGGCATACATATCAGATGTGACAGAACTACGTAAGTACTCAGAATAGCCTCACACAGTACAGCTATGTGTGAATTTAGTGTCCTCTTCGTACTCTTTGTGGTGTATGTACAACGCGAAGTCAGAGATGGCTGCCGGATTACACTTACAACAGCGGGATTGGCCAGTTCCGGCTTGTAATCAGAAGTCGTGTAAGGTAGCTTCATTCCCACCAACGAATGATTACTTTATATTGAGAACAGCAAAGTGCACTTCCGGGCAAGTGGTACCAATCCTGCTTATGCCAGTGCACCCTGTGTAAATAACCTTCTATTTGTTATTTCCGAGGCCCGCGATAAGCCTCGACGTTGACGCCCAGGCGGATTCTTGTGAGTCCTTAGCCTGCACAAGGCAGAATTGACTGGCAAGCGCTGCAGCCTGTGCATTTGGCCTTGGCAGATTCATCTCAGGCATCCCCGCATGTTAAGAAGTTGTCCTTCAGCAAATGATAGGTCGGAGCGGAAATAATGAGGGGTCGGGCCCTGGACTGCAGCAGTTTATCGGTAATATACAATTAACGTGAGGCTGACCTAGCACTTTACGTTTAAGAAGCAGGACTTCCCCTCGTAAAGCTGCGGAATCAGTACCTCTGTAATCTGTTTAAGCCCAGCGGAGCCAGAATTCTAGTATTTTACGCCTACTATATAATCGACCTACCAAAACTCAACCCGAAGATACGATCGCCAGCAGCCCACCGACGAAAGATGTACGATCCGAATACCAAAGAGTCAGGTAATGACAACGATAAGAGCACCGCAGAAAGTAAGAGCGGCTCGCTCAAGCATGGCCGTACCTCAGCACCTGGTAAGCTCCCTCGGAGTCTGGGATGCCAGTCCTTACCAGTCCTTTCTAATGGCGTTGTCAGACTCTGATGCCGATGACTTCCAACCCGGAAAAAAGAGAAAGACTGGTGTTGATCGGCCGGGGGGAGATGCTCCTGTCGCAGAGGACTATACTGTGGGCTGGGTGTGTGCCCTCCCGCTGGAAATGGCTGCCGCGAAAGGGATGCTCGATCAGCTTCATCCGAACTTGCCCTGGCAGGATCCAGCCGACCATA